TGCTTTTAATGATGTCATCAGTTGGGGTATAAACTCACCGCCCAGGACGTGAAACAACACTGTGGAGCTCTTCTCTGATTGGATGTCTGCGGTCTCCATCTGGGCTACCTGAGGTGGACGGGGCTTTGTCTTCAGCTGTGGACCAGAAATGTGATGTCACCAATGAATGTTAATGGGTTTATTTTTATAAATATTGTAAAATGCATTGAAATTTATCTTCTCTAATGAGTTTTTCAGTTTTAGCCACCTTCTGTTTCAGATTTTCAGCTCATTGTGTCCAAATAAATGTAAAGAATCGCTCAGGCAGGTTCGGCCTGGTTCTGCTGGTTCTGGTTTACCTTTCACCTGCCAGCAAGTTTTCCCTGATTTTGACCCCTGGTCAGGAGAAACCTGCCTTTTGATGACAGAGTTCACAACCTGAGTTCACATTTTGTCATTAACTGAAAACTAAAGATTTTAGGAAACAAAATGAAGCAACATTCTGTGTAAAAACAGCATTATCAGATTGATCCTTGGGTTTCTTTACTTTAAAACTTCCCATTAGAACTGATGCTTTAAGGTCAATTATGATTCTGTACAGGTGTTGCTGACGAGACAGAGCAAACGTATTTCAAAAAATTACCTGATTTCTTTGTTTTGAATGGAAAAAAGATTTAAAACCCATTTTAAGAACATAAATCAGTGGTTATAAGTGGAAACAAACGCTGTTAGCTACCAGCAGTTAGCCACCAACAGTTAGCCACCAACAGTTAGCCGCCAGTCAAAGAGCAGCTTTTCCCTCTGATTACCTGCAGCTCACTCTGCCTGACTACCTGGACGTTTGACCAGGTGGGAAATTGTCCTGGTTGAGGGTCCAGGTGATTCCACCTGGTCTGCAGGTGAACAACATCAACAAACGCCTGAGCTCATCGCGTCTACAGGTAAGTCCTGTTCTCACCTGAGGAAGACCAGTCTTCCTTCTTCTTCAGTTCAGAGCCAGGTTGGGGATCAGAGGATTTCTTCTTCTCTTGCTGGTTTCCCATCATTGTGTTATGAAGCCCTCCATTCTGTGACATCATCAGTGATGTCACAGCTAGCGAGGTTAAAGAGGAAGGATGTTTATGGTCATGATGGTGGCAGGTAGGCGGCTGGGGCAACGGCGTGCCCACCGGGTACAAGGCATAGGGGTTGGCAGGTGTTTCGACAGTGGGCGGGGCTTGTGAAGCTGTCACCTGGTTTGTACCTGTTTTATCAACTCTGCTGAGAGCCACACCCCCTCCCTCACCTGAGTCAGCAGGTGAGACGCAGCCGATATAAGAGTCTTTGAGCACCTCCGTCCGCACCAGGAGGAGGGGTCTGTTCAGGCCCCGCCCCCTCACCTTGGCTACAGGTGGACGCAGAGTGAGGTGGCAGTCCAGCTGGGCTCCAGACATCGCCACCGTCATTGCGGGTCTTCCTCTGACGTTGAGCTGGTTCAGGTCCGGTTTGGACACCTGGACACCTGTCCCCTGCTGTCGCTCCAGGTATCGAGACTCTGCCTCCGTCTCTGTCTCATCCTCGAACCGTAGGCGGCGAGTTGGCGACGCCGACCGGCGCCACCTGGTGGACGGGTTGCTCAGGTGTCCTGGCAGCGAGGCCCCGCCCACCGACCTGCAGACAGAGGACAGGTAGAGCAGTGAGAGGCTGGCGAGGAGTAACCGGTTTTGGTTCCAGTGGTTCTGGTCAAGTGAAGTTTATTTGTGTAACAAGGCAGTTCAGCTGCTTTACATCATAAAAACACAGAAATACAGACGTAGAACGCAGTGAATAACTGAAGCGTTACATTTTCACATATAGATTGATGGGTATCGATTGATACACTTCAGATTATTGATCAATGTTTCATTTATTATGTTTCAAAATCAGCTCCAAGCAGCTGGTTTGCTCTTAAAGGAACTCTGTGTTTCAGCTGTTTTGCAGTTTTCTGGAAGATTATTCCAGATATGTATGATGCAGAGCAGAACCAGAACCAGACGGTTGATCCAGCAGCAGATCTTTAATCTTTCAGTGATTTATAAACTAACAATGAAGGACTGTAGAACCGGGTGGTGTAGAACCAGATGGTGTAGAACCGGGTGGTGTAGAACCAGGTGGTGTAGAACCAGGTGATGTAGAACCAGGTGGTGTAGAACCGGGTGGTGTCTCTACCCTCCTGGTTCTAGTCAGATCTCCAGCTGCAGCTTCTGGTCTCAGTCTGACCTGCTGCAGGAATCAAACCACTAAATCCTGGATGAGTTTCTCTGGTCGGAGACTTTAGTCTCTGGGCCTGAATGTTCTGCAGCTGCTAGAGGGACCACTGAGGAACCAAAGGGTCAGGTCAGAGGTCAGAGGTCAACCTGATCTCTAGTTTACAGCTGGAAGAACTGAAGCTGACTCTAGATCTATATCTCTAGATCGTTTCTCTTCAGTAACTTCAGTTTCTGTTCAGATGGACAAAGTTTTGTCTCATCCACACCTTGATCTGTTCTTAGCATCTGTTCAGTGAATGGATGGGGTCGAAGGTCACCTGGTGACGTCATAAAGTAGAGCTGTGTATCATCTGCATCGACATGGTAACTGATCTCATTTCCTGTTGTAACCTGAGACAGTCGGAGCTTATAGATATTGAATAATAACCCCACATGTGACCTCCCAGAAATCCCAGTCCTGCATGTTAGACTGGAACCAGTTGAGTTCTGGACCGGAGAGTCCGACACAGTTCTTCTCCAGTTGGTTCAGTAACATGATCAACACTGAGGTTTTTCAGTAATGTTGCTGATGAATGGAAGGTCAGAGGTCAGCCTGAGATTCTGGTCCAGATTGTTTTCATTAGAGGTTTGATATCTGCTGATTTCAGATGTTTAAAGCAACACATGTGCTCACACCTTTGCAGGGAATATGTTTTGATTCGGACTACAAACTCCATGTTGTTTGGAGAGATGATGACATTCAATGATCACAGGCTCAACAGCTCGGCTCCACCATCACTTTAAACCCCCATCGCTCTGAGATGATGATTAAAGCCACATTTTTACTCACACAGAGTGAGTAAAAATATGGCAAACTGTGCCATGAGTATTTTCCATTTGTGTGTGTGTGTGTGTGTGTGTGTGTGAGAGAGACAGAGAGAGAGAGAAAGAGAGAGACTCACCCAGAGTGTGTGTCAGGGGTCAGCAGGCTGTGGTCGCCCCTCAAAGGAAAACAGAGACGCTTCATATGAGCTTCTTCATCACACTGATGCTGCTACGATAACGGAGCGCGCACACACACACACACACACACACACACACACACACACACACACACACAAAAACACACACACACGCATATGACATGGTGGGGGAAGGGAGAGGATGACATCAGCAGCCCTGATTGGTCAGAGTGACAGGAATTCGGATTAAACAAAGCAGCTATTCAGGATTAATTAACCTGATGAGACACAGGGTGTTTACCTCAGCGTCTGTGTGTGTGTTCATGTACGTGTGTGTGTGCGTGTAGAACTATTCTTAGTTCTACTATTTACTGTCATATTTACTAACCTTCTGACCTTATTGTTTGGGGTCAGGGGTCAGGGGCCAGGTTTAGAGGTCAGGTGTATGGGCAGAAATACAAACCTGTGTGCTGTGTATCATCTGCGTTGTTATTGTAACTGGTGCTGATCATGGCACCGTTGGAACTTCCTGGTTCAATAGCTTCAGTTTCATTTAGAGCGGTTCCTGTAGACTAGCCGCCTCCAACCGGCTCCATGCTGCTGCACACCTGGATTAGACCTCCAGGCTGCAACACCTGCAGACATGCGCAGGAAGTGATGCAATCATTTGAGGTAGTTTGGCTGGAGCGGGAAACATCTGGAACTGAACCGGACCTTTCTGAGCACAACACTGAGGTTCTGATGAGCCAAGGTTAGGGTAAAGGGTAAAGGTCGGAACCGTCCTGTCAATCGTTAGCTGGAGCAGAACCAGAACCAGTAGCAAGGCTCAGTTCTGGAGTGTTGGAGAAATTCCAACACTTCTGTTCAAACTACTGCAGGTCCTGATCAGATCTGAGATTAAATCTCAATTAAAATCATTTCCACATGTTGGAGCAAAACAGAGAACACTAACTGGAAATACCTCAACAAATTTTTCCTCAAGTAAAAGTAAAAAATACTCATCCATGACAGTCAAGTAAGAGTAAAAAAGTATTTTGTAAAAAGT